AATGTAAGTTCTTGACAACGGGGCCAAACATTTTTGTTTAGTACACTGCCTGGCATGTAGCAGGTGCTTAATAAATGCTTTTTGATGGTTTGGTTGTTTGAATTCCAAGTTTCCTTTTTAGTTTTGAGAGTCTGTGAGCACAGGCCCCATTATAAGACTGTGCAACTATTGTCTGAGTACCAGTCTAGATAAGTTTGGAGGAGTCTGACACCAGAAGGGTGGCTTACAGATGATTCATTTTTTGGGGTATGGCAATTCATGTAAATAGTCTACTAAGGTATGGAAGAGTTATGACTTGCATTGGTAGAGAAAATATCCACCTGGAAGAAATGAGAGATTTCCTGATGTATGAAAGTATTTTTAGCAATTGAAATGTATACAAACAGCTATGCTAAAGCCCTCCAGTACATGACTACATGCTGCTTGTACAAGGTCAGTTGGTACATCATAAGCACAGGAGGCCCTTCCACCAAGTGGAGAGAATTAAATTAAAGCAAATGGGAGAGTGAACAAATCTAAAACAGCTGTTCAAAGGGAGGATGAAGTACAAATAGCAAGACTGCAGCTATATAACATCCTAAGGAAAGTTACCAGCAGGATCATGGGCACATGCTTATGCACAGAAAGATGAATCTACCAGTGTTTGGTGGCAGGTTCCTCTACTAAGTACATGACAGGAAATCTGATTTCCCCAACCTGTTGCAGTTAGGAATCAGTACAATGGGGGAAAATCATCCTATCCAGTCTACTCTGTTACTTCATAGTTGAAAGTATTTAATTAGGAGTTTCACGGATGGATGAGGGCCTGTGGGAGGTTGACATATCACCAAGAGTGTCCCAGAGAATGCCGAATCCCACAACTGTCAGGTCTCAGAGTCTATGATGTAATGTCTAGCTGGAGGCCAACACAAACAAGCCTATGGTTGTCATCACTCCTTTGGATAACTAGGGCTCTGTTTTGTTCTCTGTAGATCAATGGCTATTCTGGTGAAATTCCCAAATCCCTGTATTCTTCCTTGGAAGCAGAAAAAGCAAAAAAAAAAAATACTTCTTTGCAAATAACTTACAAAAAATGGGAAATGCCTTTCAAAATGTCTCCAGCTAAAGGGACATTTCCATAGCAACTTCTAAGTTGTATGTATACAGCTAGGCACCAAACACTGGCTACTGTTGCAGCAGGGAGGACAATAAGCCAATTTGTGCATCCTCTATATATGTATATGTATGTATGTATATGTATGTATGTATGTATATATTCCTCTTCCTAAAGGTCATTGTCAGTCTTTGTCAGAAATATCTCATCCCCCTTGATTATAGCATTAGTAAATGAAAATGTGGACAGCTATGTGGTGCAGTGGATAGAGTATCATGCCTGAGGTCAGGAAGACTCATCTTCCTGAGCTCAAATCTGGCTTCAGAGACTTACTATCTGTGTGACCCTGAGCATGTCACCTAACCCTGTTTGCTTCAGTTTCCTCATCTGTAAAATGAGCTAGAGAAGGAAATGGCAAACCACTCTAGTGTCTTTGCCAAGAAGACCCCAAATGGGGTAATGAAGAGTTGGGCACGGCTGAAAATGACAACAACAATAATATGAAAATGTATGTGTATTCCCACAAGTATATTTTATTATACTCATTTTTATACCAGAGATCAAGGCTCAGTCAACACTTCAATTTCCTATAGCAAATAAGTCAAAGGCTTATTAAAAACATACAATTACCTTTGAGAAAAAAGTATAAACTTTTGTATATTCTATAAATCTCCTCATTGTTTTCTGTGCTTCAGACCTTGATTTGAATCATGAGTTAGTTACATTTGTATGGCATTTTGAGATTCCAACCACCCTGTGAGGTTTGTAAGACAAGAATTAATAACCCAGTTTTTACAGATGAGGAAACTAGGCCTGGGAGAGTTAAGGTGACAGCTAATAAGTGTTGGGGCTGGTTCTGGTGGTCTTTCCACTAAACTATGCTGCCTCTCATCTATCTGCCAATGGGCCAAATTGTAGTCATTCAGTCGTGCCCAACTCTTCATGACCCCATTTGGGGTTTTCTTGGCAAAGATACTGGAGTGGTTTGCCATTTCCTTCTCTAGCTTATTTTACAGATGAGGAAACTGAAACAAACAGGCTTAAGTGACTTGCCCAGGGTCACATGGCTAGTAAATATATGAGGCCAGATTTGAACTCAGGAAGATGAGTCTTCCTGACTCCAGGCCCAACACTCTGTCCACTGTGCCATCTAACTGCCTATGAGCCAGATTCACCTTCTTCAAATTAGAAAAAAAAAACATAGTAAAGGCCATTCAAAAGCACAAGAAATGTCAATACACTTCCAAATCATTCTATTTGCCAAGGAAAATGTCAAGTTCCCTTTATTTGACAAAGGAAGATAGCATGACACTGTAGATAGAGCAATGAATTGGGAGCCAATATGAACTGGGAGTCAAGATGAGGGCCAAGAGAGAAGGCAGACCTCAAGGTTGGAGGCCCAGTTCAACCACTAACTCACTCCATGGTCTCAGACAAATCACTCAGCCTCTCTAGATATCTGTTTCCTCTTTTGTAAAATGATGGGGTTGACCTAGAGGATTCCTGATGGTCTCTTCTAGCTCTTCAATTTTATAAATAAACAAAACAATGAAGTTCATTAGAAGGAAAACATTCGGGGTAATATTGCTTAAGCTCTAGACCTTGTTGAGTTAGAGACACAAAATGAAATAGATGAACCACAAAGAATTTTTTCCTTGGCTGGAGAGAGGTTGGGGTGGGAGAGGGAACTGGGATTTTTTGGCCTACTTAGGAATCTAGGACTAGGAGGAACTTCAGAATTCCCTTAGTCCAATCTCTCCATTTTACAGATGAAGAAAGTAAGGCCCAGAGTGCTTATTTCACTTGCTAGGATTTGAACCCAGGTCCCCTGTTTCCCCATCCATGTCCTTTCTACTTTGCCATGCTGTCTCTCTGCCTGAAGTCAAACGTAACAACTCTAATGGTTTTCAGTGGCCCTAAATGCTTTTCACATTTGGGCACCGTCTGCTTTTATGGGAGAACATAAAGAAAACCTTGCTGAATGTCATCCCACTTGAAGCATATGTTGTTATGCCGGTTGCCAGTTGCTAAATACTATCCTGAGCCTGAGGAGCTGGGTCTGGTACATGTCGAATTGCTCTTCACCGAGGTTCAGTGTCTCCCAAAGCTCCACTTGCTGTCACGGAATGTGCAACCCCCATCCCCAGGGAGCTGTCCAGCTGCAGCAGAAGATGCCACTACAGTCTAGCTGTGGGGGCCCCAGGCCAATGGCCTGACAGAAACTAGTCTCTAAATGAATAAGAATTTTAAAAATAAACAGAAAATATGAGTCAGGGCAGAAAAACTTCACTTGTTTGAGCTACTGCTGCTGATTACCTTTTGTCCTGAGTTTTATGTCTCTGCTGCACTTATTATAAAATATTGTATATTCCAGTTATTTGTCTGTGTTTACCAGGTCCTTTGCTGCCTCAACTCCCTATTCCATACGTACACAAAAGGCAAAAACCAGACCAAAGCTCATGAGAACAAGGGCAATGTCATATCTCAGCTTTATGTCTTCCCCCTCTGCACCCAATAGGCACTAGAATGTCCACTGAATAGATGAATGGATTGGATGTATCATTCTTAGGATATCAGGTTGGTGGGAGGTTGGTGGGTAAAATATTAAGTTTTGACGAGCTAGTCATCAGAATGAGTAAGAGGGCCACCTCAAAGGTGGAGCCAATCCCTCCATATGTTCCTCCCTTCTCCCCCTAGATAATTTTTATCTAGGTGGAACATGTTAGAATGGCCATAAGGCATTTTTGAAGGAGAAAAGTCATGGAAGAACACCTGAAGGGGGTGTGGAAGCATAGTCCTACTTCTTTGCCTTGAGTGGGAGAGGTTGGGACCATGGGGACAAAACACTGAACTGTGAGTCAGAAGACCTGGTATCTAGTCTCAGCTCTGGCATTAACTAACTCTGGCAGGTTGATTCACTCCTCTGGGTCTGTCTTCCCAGCAATACAATGAGAGGGTTGGACTTAGTGTTCCCTAAGAGCCTTTCTAGCCCTAAAGTTCTGCCCGGCACATAGTAAGTGCTTAGTAAATGCTTGCTGGCTTGACTTGTTGACTTGTTGTTGGCTTGACTTGTTGCCTACAATCCATGATCCAGAAATTTTTTTAAGTACCAGCTATTTGGGGGCCAGTTCCTCTCTCCCACTGAACAACTCCCTATATCACTACTAAGCAGTCTGCAAGGTGTGAGGAGGCTTCAAAGTTAATTGCCTAGGACCCTAGGGGTTACATTGGTGGCAAAACTCTGTAACGTAGAGTTCATTTGGGGTCTGGATGCAATTTTATTGCTCAAACCCAAATCCATAGAAGAATCAGAAATATTTCTTTAATATTCATGTGTACTTTCTAATTATCCCCAGTAGGTGAGTGTATATCAGCTGAGCATAAAACCATGTAAGAAAGGGCAAAGATTCATGCTTCCAGGAATTGTATAGAATAAACAGCAAACTTATTGACTTAGAAGCATGGGGATGAGAATAAGAATAAGAATAATGACTCACTTCCTATAACATTTTAAAGCTACAAAGCACTTTCCTTCCAGCAACATTAAGTGGTGAGTAGTGTTGGTATTATTATCCCCATTTTACAGGTGAGGAAATTGAGGCTTAGAGCTACTATGTGACTTGCTAAAGGCCACATAGCTAGTAATTGACAGACCTAGGACTCCAACCTAGGTCCTCTGACTCTGAATCCTGTGCATTTTCCACCACTGAAAACTCACAGAAGCTCTGTCCTTTCCCCACATCAGGAAGGCTGGATCTATGTCCTCTCAGGCTTACCTTTCACAGACTCGTACTGTCCAGGCGGCAATAATCCACAGAGAAATGCTGAAGACTAGGAGTACTGTCCCAGGGCAGATGGTCATGAGAGTCTTCATGACAAAACGTGTGTTGAAGTTGATTTTGTTTAGTGCCCCAATACTCCGTGATGAGGCATCTGTAAAGAGCTTGCTATGCAGCAACATAACTCGGGCAATCAGGTACAGCCGGAGGAACATGGGGATAGAAAGGATGATGTCCACGTCAGCCTCAGCCCTGGAAGGAGCATAGGAGAAGGCTAGGCGGGCTGTCCAAAAAAATTTATATTCACCAGGGATGGGATGGATGGCACAAACCAACATCTCCAGGCTGATGTAGAGGATGCGTTCGTAGGTCATGGCTATCCTCCAGTCATCTGCGCCATTGTCAATCACAAAGAGCTAACAGAGAACAAAAACCACAGTTAGGGCTGCCACAGAACCACAAAGACCAAGTGTAACATGTGGTGGTTGAGCCTGCGTCGCCTGTCATTAGAACCCCCTCCACCTAGAAGGAACAAACAATACCCTGTGTGCTCTGGAAAGCAGATAGAGGAAGTTCTGGAGGGGATGGGGACAGGTGGACTCGGTGGATTGCAAGGTAAAGAACCAGGAATGAGTAGGTGGAATGTCAGGGCTGTCACTGACTTGACTCGTCATTGGCCAATTGCCATGAGGATGGTGGCATGGGACCATGGACAGAGCAGCTCTGAGGGCCCAAGTCCCATTTCTACCACTCACTAGCTGGGGGACCTTGGGAAGACACTTCATCTCCCTCAGCCTCAGTTTCCTCATCTGTAAAAATACATAAAGTCAAGTCCTTTCCAACTTTAATATTCTATGATTCTGTGAGTTAGACTGTATGGGTGTAATGGAAAGATTTGGAATGGAACGACCTGGGTTGGAAATCTGGCTTACTTATTTACTACTGATGTATCTTTGGAAAAAGTTTCTTCCTCCTTTTGGACCTCGGTTTCCCCATCTGCAAAGTTAGGGGGTTGAACCAGACGGCCTTGATGGATTGAACTGGATCTCTTAGGTCCCTTCCAGTTTGAAATCTCACAACCCTCTAATTTGTAGAATAAGGAGATTGGACTGGATAATCTCAGGTGTCCCTTCTAGCTCTGCCTCCTACAATGCTGTGATACCTGAGCCTTACGTTCCTCGTCAGTAAAGAAAGGATAACGTGACAGGCACTTCTGACCTTGTTAACTACCTATCCTCCCAGCACCAAATTCAGGGTTCAAGTCCTGCCTCTAACTGCAAGAATTTGGGCAAATCACTTAGCCTCTATGGACCTCAGCCTCCTCATCTACAAAATAAGATGGGTGGCCTCTGAGGTCCTTTCTAGACCTGGTTCTAGAATCCATTCGCCTTCATCTATGTTCTTGAGCAGCTAGGTAGTTCCTGGGATCAGGACTCAGGAAAACCTGAATTCAAATCCAGCCTCACACATTTACTAGTTGTGTGGCCCTGGGTAAGTCACTTAATCCATTTCTGTCTCAGTTTCCTCATCTGTAAAATGGGGGCAATAATAGCACCTAACTTACAAGATTGCTGTGAAGATCAAATGAGATAATACTTGTAAAGTACTTAGTAAAGTGCCCGGCACATAGTAAGTGCTTTAGCACAATGCCTGGCACATAGTAAGCGCTATATAAATGTTAGCTATTATTATAGTGTTTAGCACAGTGCCTGGCACATAGTAAGCGCTATATAAATGTTAGCTATTATTATAGTGTTTAGCACAGTGCCCGGCGCATAGTAAGTGCTTTAGCACAATGCCTGGCACTCAGTAAGCACTATATAAATGTTAGCTATTATTATAGTGTTTAGCACAGTGCCTGGCACATAGTAAGTGCTATATAAGTGGTAGGGATTATTATTATAGTGCTTAGCATGATGTGGAACACAGTAGGAGATTAATAAATGCTTGTTTCCTTCCCTCCTTCCTTGTGCAAATCACCTGACTTCTCTGGATCTCAGTTTTTTCCTCCAGGGATGAGATTAGATGGCCTCTGTGGTCTTGTTCAGTTCTACATTTATGGTCCTAGGTTCTCACATGTGTGCTGTGAGCATCTAGATGGACAACATGTATAAATCACTCTATATAGATGTCAGCCTCTATTAGGAGAAGCAGAACAGTGGCCTGCAAGGACTCAGGGCCCTATTCCGGACACACTGGTGACATTCAACTCATGAATGATGTCAGTTGATGACGATGATGCCAAAGTTATATACGGGGTGGTCCCACTAGACTCAGACATCCCGTTGGGGCTGTTTGGTGGACATGACAAGAAGTCCAGGCAGGCGTGGAGATGGGACTATTACAAGCAGTGACAGCAGCAGGTGATTGCCATGCCCTTTCATCCCTCTCTTCTCCCACCAAGCATGGGGATGGCTTCCACAGGTCTGATTGTTTAGCCCAAGCCCTGTTAGAGTACTCTCATGATACCATGTGTCAGCCCTCCCTCCCTTCCTTATTTCCAGCCCCACACAAAGATTCCAAGTATTCCAAGTACTACTCAAAGGTATTGCTATATCAAAGCTAATTATGTTGGCCTTTAATGAGCTCAGGAAAGGCAAGATACTGCAGCCTGGTACAGTGTGAGTGGTATAATAAAGTGAGCTTGGTCACAAAGGACAACAGACACTCAAAGCATCCTGATTAAACGGCCTGTTTGGCAGGTATTATGGCAGCCTTGCAAAATGACTGTGGGCCTGCCACAGGTACAGGGCAGAGGCAGTATGGTGCAGTGGAGAGAAAACTAGATTTGGAGTCCCAGGACCTGGGTTCAGATCTCTGCCTCTGTTATTTACTAGCTGTGTGTGACCTTGAGGAAACTACTGCTCTGGGCTCAAATTTCCATAGCTGTGAACTGAGAGGGTTGATTAGATCAGTCTGGTGAAGCCTATGGACCCCTTCTCATAATCATGTTTTTAAATAATTGAAGGAAATGTTAAATTACAGTTGAAGATTAGTGAAAATGAAGATGTAATTTTTTTTTCCATATACAAGTTCAGAGACCCTCCTCGTCCCCTCTTAAATCTATCTATTGACCTTTTGGGTGTCCATGGACCCCAGGTTAAGAACTGATTCAGAGGATGAAGCATTGGACTTCAATTCAGGAAGATGTTGAGTCATTTTTAACTGTGTCCAATTCTTTATGACTCCATTTGGGATTTTCTTGGCAAAGATACTAGAGTGGTTTGCCATTTCCTTCTCCAGCTATCTTTACAGATGAGGAAACTAAGGCAAACAGGACTTGCCTTGTTAATTATCTAAGGCCAAATTTGAACTCAGGAAGATGAGACTTCCTGACTCCAGGCCTGATGCTCTATCCACTGAGCCACCTAGCTGCCCTGAGTTCAGGAAGACTTGAGTTCAAATCCTACTTCAGAGACTTACTAGCAGTATGACAATTCACAACCTCTCTCAGCCTCAGTTTCCTAATCTGTAAAACGGGGATAATGATAGCACCTACCTATCAGGATTGTTGTGAAGATCAAACAAAAAAAATTTGTAAAACATTTTACAAACCTTATTAAAGCCCCATATAAATGTTAGTTATCATCATCATCATCATCATCATATCTTTAAGGTGTCTTCTGGCTCTTAAGTCCATTTTCCTATGCAATTAGCTTGGATTGAAAAGAAATCAGTCCTGCATGAGGCTTAGATGAGATTTTTCATGAAAATGGAGGTTGTTGGATGTGGAGTCCACAACAGACCTCAGTTCAAATGCCATCTCCTCTACTTACTACCTGTGTGACCTGCAGCAAGTAACAACCTCTCTGGACCCCACTTTCCTTACCTGTAAAATGAAGAGGATGGACTAGATGACCTCTAAAGACTCTAAATCTATGATTCTACATCCCTGAGCCTCAATTTCCTCATCTGCAAAATGATGGAGTAGAATAAGTGAACTGTGAGGTTCCTTCCAACTCCGAATGTATGATTCTATGATGTTACTTCCTGTCCCTGACCACATTTCTCATACCCATCCCTTTTCCTGTCTTAGTGGTGCACATTGCTCCTGAAGCCCACATGACCTTGCTGTCCTCTTGCTCATGACCACCTCTGCCCATTGAAATTCTACTCATCCTGCTCAAATCCCATCTCCTCCAGGACGTCTTTCTTCAACACTGTAGTTGGTAACAACCTTTTCTCCAACCTTCCAAATTCACAGAAGAGCATTTTGTTTGCCCCTCTCAGGGACTATCTTCTAATTACCACTCATATGACCTTAAGCTCTTCGAGCTTCACTTTCCTCATCTGTAAAATGGTGATAATTCTTGCACTAACCACTGCCTGAAGAAAGTACTTTGTAAACACAACAGAAATGTGAGTAATTTATTATTTATTATTATTATTTATATGTGTCATATCCCCCATTAGATTGTAAACTCCATGGAGGGCAGGGAACATTCCTTGGTATCCCTTTTCTTCCTCCTCCCCCCACCAATCCTAGCACTCGGCACACAGTAGGCATTTAATGAAATATTTATTCATTAAAAATTAAACTGGTACCACTATTAGGTCTGTTTCCCAAAGTGACCAGGGGAAAAAGAAAAGAACCCTTATGTTCTAAAATATTTATAGCAGCTCTCTGTGATGGCAAAGAACTGGAAATTGAGGAAATGTTCATCAATTGGGGAACGGCTGAACAAATTGTGGTATATGATTGTGATGGAATACTACTATGCTATAAGAAATGATGAGCTGTTTGATTTTAGAAAAACCTGGAAAGACTTGCATGAAATAATGAAAAATGAAGTGAGCAGAAGCATGAGAATGTTGTGTACTAGTACTGACAGCAATATTGTTTGAAGAATAATTGTGAATAACCTAGTTATTTTGAGTACTATGGATACTCAAATCAACTATAAAGGACCTATGAAGGAAGAGATTATCCACCTCCAGAGAAAAAACTGATAAATAGAAGTATGTATAATATGGTTTTACATATATTTATAAATCTTTGTCATATGGTGGCTTCTCTAGTGTGGGGTGGGGAGGGAGGGAGACAGTTTGGAACTTACAATGCAACAAAAAATTAATGTAATTTAAAAAGAAATTAACTTGAAACTGATCAAGTCCAAAGATAAGAGCATGTAGAGTTCTTCCTCAGTTCTTATACTTGGAGTTTCCTGCTGTAATGTTTTCATCTGTTATAAGAAAAATAGATGCCAGTCATAGGATCTTACAGAATCACCTTTGGAGAACTGGAAGTCAGTCACGTCAACAAGCATTTGTTAAACTCTGACTATGTGCCAGTCACTGTGCTAAGCACTGGGGATAAAAGAAAGGGAAAACCAGTCCCTGCCCTCAAGGAGCTCACATTCTAAAGGGAGAGACAACATGCAAATAACTGTGTACATACAAGGTATATACAGAATGG